ATAAAAAACATCTATTATATAGGAAAACACATTCTAGGTTATAAATTTGTGCAATATTTGTTTGGTCCGTAGGGAACAGCTAATTAGTGACGTATGACGTATATATGTATATATTGAAAACTTTTGTCCGTAGGATAGTGCATTGAATAATTAGTTAATCTAACCACCCAGTATTTAGGTAGTTGATTAATTATAACTAAGTTTTTCTAATTAGGGCATATTTTTGTCATAAATTTGTGTAAAAAAATATAAAAATCGATATTAATTTTAGTATCATTATTATATTGATAAAATTAATTGAACAATTGATAAAGTAAAAGTAAACTTTTATTCTTTTAACACAAATTTATAACCAAGAAACATATAAGTTTTTCTATTTTGTAATCTTAAAGCATAAGTTAAGCTTACTTTTTTATCATAAATTCATATAGAAAAATTTAAATGTTAATATTAATTTTAATATTGTTGTCATGTAGATGAATATAATTGGATGATTGATAACGTAAGGGTAAATTTTTATTTTTTTAATACAACTTTATCGTTAAAAAAATGTATTTATTATTCTTTTAACTTATATCTTAAAAAATTCAAAATGTATTTATTATACTATTAACCTATATACTTAAAACACTAATTAGAAAAACCTATTATAATTTATAAAAGAGTTCAATGAATAGGCAGTTATATGTTGAGTGTGAAAGCGTGACCTATTATCTAATGGATTGAGGAAATTATTAATATACTCTCCATTTAACATATTTTAGGTATTTGTTTTAATTTAGTTATTAAAATATAATATAAATACAGTTAATGTAGTTGATTTATGCATTTTGTACGTATGATTGTATTTTTAAATTTGTCTATTTTTAATTTTAGACTAAAAAATAATAATTTTTAAATAAATTTATTGTACCATGTGTTAAATTAAAATATATACTAATAGTTATCCAATAGATTGGGATGGAACATAATATATATGGGATTAATTGTTGACTCTATATATGCTATCAATAACCTATTCGCAATGCTATAATTACAATGATATGTAAGTGATACATTTATACACATTAGATTATAAAAAATGATATGATTATAATATCATATAGTATTGTAAATTTATAATATAATGTGTTATTATATAATTAACTTTATTTATTTAAAGATTTTACATCCACTGATTTAATATTATGTTTATCTAAATGTCCAACAACATGGTGTGGAGCCCACAATACATGACCTGGGTCCCACAATAATGGCCATGAATTTTCGTCTTGGAAAGTCATCCCATAATTTTCGTCGTATTTATCATTTCCCATCTCTTAAACACCGGAAGGCGTATATCAAAAGCCGAAAGGGATTTAACTTTTTACAATTTCTTGCAAGCCACTCAATTTTAATTCATCCTCAGCTGCTTGGGCAGTTGATGACGATGTTTGAAGATACGAAAGATAGTTAACTAACTAACTCTATTTCTACACAATAACGATTTCCTTCTTTTTGCTTAAGGAGAAGTGTGGGATTCTCTCTTGAAATTCCTTGCAACTTTCAAACCAATAGAAAGCTGCTATTTTTGGAAACCCCAACAAAACCACACAAATGCCCCTTAATTTTGACCCTTTGTAATCTTTGACCTCACCCCACAAAATGCAAAAAAAAAAAAAAAGGTCCTAATCCATAGGAGTACTATAAAGTTGGAGTTTCCTTCTCATACGCCTTAGACAACGTTATCGTTTACTTAGGGTCATCTTAAATACAGTAGTAATGATAAGGTCGGTTGAGACTTGAGACAGATCGTACTTGGCCGCTATCGTCGGCAGCAGATGTCATCGTCTTCGCCGGTGATCTCGCCGGTAAAATTACGCGTTCACATCTCTTTTCGTAATTTGTGATAACCACGTACCATGTTAGTTATAAGCAATCATATGGTACACTCGTAAAATACACGCAATTAAATTACTATAACATAAAGGAAGGAGATATTGGTTTCCAATTTTTTTATATATATTGAAGAATAATGAAGAACTTTTACTTTTACAATCGGATTAATAGACTAATTAAACTAACGTTGGATCCACACAAACAAGGACCGAGTGCGACGATTTTTTTTAACAAAACTCAACCGAGAAAATTGCAAAACTATTTTCCAATGAACAATGTATTCACACGTAGACAATAATTAACATGGTGCACCAGACTAGCGTTCCTCGAGCTCACGATCCTCGTGGAACGATAGCCGGAAAACCCAATTGGTGAGCGACCACCGTCGTCTTGTGTTTTTCAAAGCTTGGTGATTGCTCTGACTGCGAATTGGGGAGATGGACTCCACAAAAACCTTGAGTCGTCTCATGGCCACCTTTAGGGTGTCTTCGGACATGTTAGCGAAACACATCCGAAACCACCCTGGTTCGGTGCAATGACATGAAGACCCTGGTGAAATATTTATGTTAACTTCGTAAACTATTCTCTTCCACAGCTCCATTTCTGCTTCAAATGTGTCGGAGCTAAGGAGGCGCCTCATATCCACCCAGCAAAACAAACCAGCACTGCTCTTCAGGCAGCTGACACCGGCTTTCTTCAGCTCGGAGATGAGCATTCTCTGTCGTTGTTTCAGCCTTTCGTGATTTTCCAAAATGTAATTCTTTGTGAATTTCTTATCGGAGAGCATTACCGAGAGAAGATACTGAGTTTGAGAGGAAACTAGGCCAAAGCTGGACATTTTCGTGGCAGCGTCCACGACCATGTTATCGTTGGAGTAAATTGCTCCAACTCGAAAACCAGGAAGACCCAGATCCTTAGAAAGGCTATACACAATGTGAACTCTGTTAAAAACTTCAGAGTTCTCCAACTTCCTATCTTTCATAACCTCCATGATACTTACAAACCCTGGAGAGGAAAAAACAGTACCAGAATAAATCTCATCGCTAATTAAATGAATTTCCTTCTCAGTAATGAAGTCAAGCAGAAGGTTGAGTTCATCAAGGCTCATTGTGGTGCCCAATGGGTTTGAGGGGTTGGTGACTAAGACTCCCTTAACCCTTAGGTTGCGTTTGTGGGCCTGTTGATAAGCTTCTTCAAGAACCGATTCAGTGATTCGAAAGTCGTTGGAGCTTGAACACTGAATTGGCAAAATCTCCACCCCAGTTCGCCACTTGAGATCCCTATCAAATCTGAAATAAATAAAGCGTAATTCAGTAACGTAATTTTCATGCATAAGAAACATGTCTCTTAGTATTATATTTAGAGAAGTAGAAATAAATTAAAAGGACGTACGTATACCTACCCTGGGTAGTATGGTGTGGGAAGGAGGAAGGCGTCACCGGCTTCAGCTAGGCAGAACATGAGAGTCTCGTTAGCAGAAGTTGCACCGGCGGTGAGGACAACGCGATTTGGATCAAATGATACTTTATTTCCTCTGATTTCCGCCATGAAATCTACCAAAGCCTTCTTGAAATCGGGGAGGCCGTGATAATCCTGGAAGAGAGCAAGCTCCCTGAATATGAATTGTCCATTCCTCCTGAACCCCGCTGCGTCAGGATTTTTTGCCAACCATGACTCAAGAAGGTCAAAGGACAACTGCAAATATTTTAAAAACGTAGAATAAGACACTGCATGTGATATGTTCCAACTCTCATAATGTATCAATAATAATGCCACCGGTAAAAAGGAAAAAATCCGTTAATTACCTGATTTTCTGCAAGACCCATTTGAATGATTCCCTTAGGATTCTTAACATGATCATATGGATTTTTCTCGTACTCCTCCCATCCTATGAAGTATGAAGAATCCTGCCCATGAGTGTTACACAAGACTTTTAATGACAACAACCCCATTTTTGGCCTCTAAGAAAAAGATAGAATTTCCCAGAAAGAGAATCACAGAAGGCAATGAACAAGAGAGGATGAAAGAAACAGGAAGGAAGAAGAGATCGAAAAAGAAAGAATTGATAACTTGAAAGGTATAGGAGTTGAAGTCTTGAGAAGAGCTTTATTTCTTGTAGTGGAGAGCTGAATCGAGGCGCATATATAAAGGCAATTCATCTTTTTTTTTTCTTTTTTTTTTTTTCGAAAGATAAAAGATTTAATTAAATAAGTACAAAGAGTATCCAAATCCATATACATTAATTAATTTTTAATAAAATAAAAAATCAAAAAATAATATAATATTAAGAGACTCTTTACAAAAATTTGCAACACTTGGAATTTAAGATTAAGTAAGAGAAGCAGAAATAAATAAATAAATAAATTCTCAAAAGGCAACTTTGTTGGAAAGACTTTTTTGACCATCCAGACAGGGAATTCTAAGTTTCTAACTTGCATTAAAAGTTCTATCAAAAAAAAAAAAACTTGCATCAAAAGTATACTCCTATCATGATTAGAAAATGTTCGTTTACGGTGTCCGCGCATCCGCCGCACTGTCCAGGGCACTCTGGGCAAGGGTAGTCGGCAGGCGCGGGCATAGACTTAGAGCACCTACCCTGCACGCACTCCAATATCGCGTTGGCGTAAGGAGGCTTTATCAGGAAAATAAATTAGAAAACAAAAAGATATAGGGTATACTATCTTCATTTATTTTTAAGGATATTTTTAATGTGTATTTATGGTATAAATTAGGTATATTTTTTTATAATAAATATGTATAAAAAAATATAAAATTGATATTAATATTAATATCATATGAATTTAATTAGATAATTAATAAATTAAATATTAATTTTTATTTTTTAATACAAATTTATAATAAAAAACATATTTAATAAATTCTTAATCTATATTTTTAAAATAAATATTAAACAAACTTTATTTTTAATAAATTTAATTTAATTTTTTAAATTAAACACAAATTCTAAAATTTATAGTATCAAAATACCTTAATTTTCTTTTTTTTTTCTTTTAAAAGTTTAAATATTACATTAATTACTAAAATTTAAAAATAAATAAGTAAAAATTAATATACCTAGCACCTACACCAATTATAAATTCATCCTAAATCTGTTAAAAATTGTATTTGCATTTTACAAGCCAGATCAACAGCAAATCTTAGAGGGAGTAGCCAAGTCTGGCCCACAAAGCCCATATGCTGGTTTCGACTCTAGAGTGTACAAAATGTGGTCCATATGTTCCCCCTACTGGAACCCGCTATCCCCATGTCGGCATTGATTTTTCCTTTGTTTAGTTCAGAATCCCAACAAAGCAGAACATAGTGTTGATCTGGAGTCAAACAATATATCGACTGAATATTTCAGTAGTACGAGACGTTTTATTATACCAAGTAACTGAATTACATATAAAGAACGTGTGGATTTTGAGTGTCCGTTAATGTTTTTATTAGGAATACTTAGACGATTGTGGATAGCACAATATTGATTTTATATATATATATATAGACATAATAAACAATAGGAAAATGACTCACACGTTTCAATTTAATGATTGAGATCTTTAATTAAGTAAAATCATCTCTCGTAAGTTATATATTTAAATCCTATGGATGATATTAATTTTTCTTTCACCCAAATTTCCTTTCTTCAAAAAAATAAATAAATAACAAAAAAAATACTTTACATATCCTTTAATTTGATACACATTAATATTTAATTAATTTAATTATTAAAATATAACATAAATATAATTAATTTAATTAATTTTTTTGTATTTTATGTATGCTACATCTTAAAATTTATTTTTTTTAATTTTTAAATTTAAATTAAAACTAATAATTTTTAATTTCAAAGAGTGTCTGTTTTAATATTTTAAATAAAGAAATGATTTACGGGATGAAATTGGAGGGCGAAATTGAGGGACAATAAGTGAAACAGATTAAATTAATAATTTTGTATCCTAACCAACTTCTCTTATTGTCTCCCATTTCACCCCTCAATTTCATCCCGCAAATCATTAGTCTTTTAAATAACAATGCAGGGTCGATAGGGCTGGATTAAATGGTTGTAGCCTGCGACGATGACTTGGGATGGTTAGGTTGACGGCATAAGGGAGCGACGTGGGCGGTGGAGATTGGTGGGTATCCCAGTGCAATAAAATCTTTGTTTCTCGTTGATGGCGGATTCAAATATATTCTCAGTGAAATGCAATTATTGCTCTTAGCAAGCTGTAAGTTGGGGGTGGGGTTATTGCCACAGCCACTAATGTTAATGCCACAGCTTTTTTTAGTTATTTGATTATTATACCCCTCATTTGAATCCAACTTGCAGCAGTCACCACCTTCTCCGCGTGGGTTAATGGTCAAATAACTGAAAAAAACTGTGGCATTAACATTAGTGGCTGTGGCAATAACCCCACCCGTAAGTTGGAAGCAAATAACCGATCGCCGCCCTCAGTTTTTAGCCACCTGATTTCACATTGGGAACGTGATCAGGACGACTGTTTGGGATAAAAATTATGGCAAAGGTCTCTCTGCTTTTTGAAATGGATATAATTTGATTGTAATTTGGAACAAATTAGCCAAGGTTAGGTGGTGATGAATGCTTTTTGAAACGTAGGTAGTGATGGACACTTTAATTTCCTCGTTTTATGAAACAAAAAAAGTGGGACAACTCATGAGTCATGATTACACCTTTTTAATTTCCCGAGCCTTCTTGGAGTAAAATGAGATTGCAGAATCAAAGAAAAACTATATGAAAGTGGCCTTCAGACTTTCCATATAGCCCTGGCGAGGAAAAAGAAGTCATGAGTAGTATCACGGTCATATCATATAATTGTACAATAACTCATAAGTGACCGTCTAGAAAATAAAAATAAAAATAAAAACTCACTAACTTAGGTTAATGCATGACTTAAGTGGTTAAATAATAATTTTATTATTATTGTATTGTAAAAAATAAAAATAAAAATATCATGTATATAATTGTACAATAACTCAATAAGTGGCCGTATCTGACCCTTCAGGTCAATTGGTAAGTTTGTCAGCTTAAGATGCATTCCTCTGTTTTTATAGGCGAGTTTCGAGTCTATTTCTTGACAACTTGTTAAAAAAAAAAAAAAACTCAATAAGTGACCATTCAGGAAAAAATAATAATAAAAAACTCATTAATACTAAATGCATGACTTAGGAGGTCAAATGGTATTTTTATTATTATTGTATTGTACTAAATGTCTTACATATATATACAGATGTGAGCGGTAATGTCATGTTCAAAATAACCTGTAATATTTATTCCAATGGGCTCCAGTTGTAAATCTAGGGTCGCTGTTAACTACCATGTAATATTTAATATAGGTTAAATATTAATTTTGGTCCCTCAACTTTATAGTATTACATAATTTTCATCCTTCAATTATTTTTTGTACTTTTTTTATCCTTTAACTCTAAAAACTATACAATTTTGATTCCTTTGTCAGTTGGGTCGTTAAATCAACCACGTGCCATTCTTTTATTTGTTTTAATGACATGGATAATATAAGTAAAAAAAAAAGCTTATTTGAACTAAAACTTTTGCCACGTTGCAAATAAACTCTACGCCCTTCATTTAATAAATAATAAAACTTCAAAATTACGTAAATGCCCTTAACTTCATCTTCTTCCCCTGATTTCCTCTTTTCTCTCCTTTATTCCTTAACCCTAAACTTCAACAACTTCTCCCTCCCTCTCCTCATCTTTGGTAGCTTCTCCTTCTCTTTTCCTTTTTTGGTGCCGACTTCTCTTCCCTTCCCCTCCCATCATTTGTTTGACTTTTTTTCTAAAATTTGGGTTTGAGCAAGATTTAGGTTCGAGCAAGATCTAGGTTCAAGCAAGATGAACGAAACCTTGTAGATCTAAGTTTGAGCAACATCTGGGTTCAAGCAAGATGAACAAAACCTCGTAGATCTGGGTTCGAGCAAGATGAACAAAACCCCATAGATCTGGGTTCAATTAGAACCCAACAATATTGGGATTAAACCCACTTACTAGGATTGAACTACTGTTTCTACAGTGGAGAGCACATCTAGATTGGGTTAACAAAATTCAATTCCTTGTTCCTTTGAGGAGGTTGCAAAGTGGTGGTGGAGATTCGGTTGGAATATGAGAGATCTTAAGCTAGATTAAGGGTATACATTTGATTTTTCATTTTTTCAAAGGTTTGTATCAAATTTCTTTGAATGTTGAGCCATAATCGTTAGAAATGGTAGTTAGATTGTCATTTTTAGTTGATTTAGGTTCTACTGACCCAAGTTTGATTAGAACCCAATAATGGTTTCATCGAACCTAGCTACTGGGTTTCAAAAAATCCAATAGATTTGAGTTTGATTGGAATTGAACGAAAAAGCTTTTATTGTATTTTGGAATTGAAACTCAGAGTCCTAAGAAAAGGAAATTGCCAAAGAAGATGAAGAGATTAGTCAATTGAACCCAACAAATGGATATTTTTATTTGTCCACATGTTAATTTGATTTGGCATGTAGTTCCAAGTGTTAATATAATGTGGCATTTTTGTTTGTCCACGTAAGCAAATTGTATGAGGTGTTATTGCCATGACATCATAAGAATTAAAAGAAAATGCCATTTTGGAAAAGATAACACCCATGTCATAGATAACTAACGGAAGGACTAAAATTGTGTAGGTTTTAAAGTTGAAGGATCAAAAAAGTGCAAAAAATAGTTGAGGGACAAAAATCATGCAACACTATAAAGTTGAGAGACCAAAATTAGCATTTAACCTTTAATATAATATGTTAAAAGTGTTTCTCGATTAAATTTTTAAAAATATAAAAAAAATTTAAAAATTACTTTGTTTATATGAATTTTAATAAAAAATTAAAATAATGTATTTTTAAAGCATGACATTTTTTTTGAAAGGCATAAGTTGATTTTTATTTTTTAGTTTTATTAGACTGATATTTTATTAGTTAATTTATTTATAAAGTTACTGTTTTAGATTTTATTCATAATTATATATTTTTATGGTGAAATATTTTTTATACTCCTTAATCATATATTAGTTTCGCTAATAAAAAATAAATTATATTGATTTGATTTTTTTTATAGTATTTTATAAAAATAAC